TCCCATCTGGTGTGTGACAAGTATGAACCCCCGTCTGGTAAGCCCTCTTTTGTAAGGCCCGATGAGTATGCACCCCCATATGGTGTGAAAGTCCACTTTGTAGGACTGACTGCGACTTACTGCTCTGGCTCATGCGCAAATGTTTCCTGTATGCAGGTCTTTACCTTTGGGATCTCCCTTGTCCCGAAGTTGTGGTGGCGACTTACTGGTCTAGCTCATGCGCCGGTTCCATGGGGAATGATTTTTGGTAAACGTATTTGATTTTTCTGGTAGAGTCTTCTGGTGTGCCGAAGATTCTTTGATATTTGGCTTTTCTGATAACCATTCAACTTGTTGATTGCTGAGGATTCTTTGTTTTGATCTTTTGGTAGTAGTCATCCGACTTTGCTGGTTTGTCGGGGATTTGCGGTGAACGCTTTTGAGTACATGGGCGTTTTGCCGGTTTGCCTTTTCCTTTTTGTTAGGAAGATGGTGGCTGATGTTTTGGATTTAATCTTTCCTTTTTCCGTGGTTTATTTTTTTCTCGCGATTTGGATTTTGACTTTTTTGGATTGCGCGTAAGCCTTTTTACTTTTCAGTTTCTTTTGGTACACTGACTTTTTCGGAAAAAGAATTAAGGCAAACAAATTTATCAAAAGATTTTATTTATATATGATAAATTTTGTACAATGATTATGCTGATACAAAGATATCCCTAAGACGGCGGCGAACTCGACTGCGAGCCTGGAGACGGGCTAGGAGGAGGGAATTGCCTAAACATATGCCTCTGGAACTCCTCCTGGCTCCGGATCATGTCGAGCTGAAGCTGGGAGATCATGCGCAGGTCTTGCATCATCCCTTGCCGTCCCTGACTGAAGGTCTCCATCCACGTCTCGAAGACGTCTTGCCTTAGGGACATCTGGTCCAGCTGCTAGCGGATGTCATCCATGTGACGGTGCATGCCAGAAAAGTCATCCCGTATTGTTGCTGCTCAAACTCTGGGGGACATCGGGATCTCTTGCGCCGCCTCCAAATCCTAGATATCTAAGGTCATGGCGAGCGCAGGGTGAAGGACCATCTGAGACCCTTGCCTGATAAGCATCCCCATGCTGACAAGCATGGATCCGCTTATGGACTCGGGTTGGAGAGTGGAGGAAATGTCCTCCCTGCCGGGGCACCCCCATCTCTCGGCCAGCGGGGTGATGAGAGGACCCATGAGGATGGCTCCGACGGGGCGACTCCCGAAGTCCTTGAGAGCTCTCAGAAAGAAGTAGCCGAGGTTACACTGGCGTCTGTAAAGCATGCAGTGCAGTGCGAAAAGGTCGGGCTAGGTAATCTTCCCCTTACTTTCCTTCCGCCCATGGATAGTCCCTGCCAACAGCTTGTGGCAGATGAGGAGAGGAGGGCTGAGTGCCGACCCTTTCATCAGGGCCGGTAGAATCTGAGACCCGGTGAGATCCTCCCATATCTCACCGGTTGTGAGGGTAGCCGGCCGCTCACAGATGACCCCCTGATATTCCGGCATCAGGGTGTCCGCAGACTGTATGAAGCCTATGGCAACGTTGAACTTGTCCAACGTCGTCGTCCAATAGGTCCCGTTCATATAGTACGAGACCATCCTCACCAGAGGGATACCTGAGAACATCGTGGGCATCTCGATCATCGTAATGGAGGCGAGGAACTCCATTATGGTCTGTGTGTAGATGCGGGTCGGGGGGGCTAGAGGAGGAAGTCCCACCCGATATTCTGAATATAGCCCCGCACATCGTCCTCCCAACCAAACTCAGCCAGGATACCAAATTCTAGTCTCAGCATGGGGTGTCAGGAGTAACCCTTGATGTGCTCCAGCCTGGCTTGATGATGCGGCGTAAGCTGGGTAGGGTCTGGAGGAGCCGGGGCTGTAGGTGCGCTCGGGCTGGGGCCCCGACCTCTCTTCCGGGGCCTAGATGATTCGCCTCATTGCATTTTGGCAAAGACACTCAAGAATGTATGAGAATGTGTATGAAGATGCAGGAATGGAATGCTTAGAACCCACCCAAAGGCCCCCTTTATATAGAAATTTTGATTTTGGTGGAGACCGCCATTTGGGATTTTGGGACGGCGGTCTCGATTTTTCAAAGCTCGGAACTGCCATTTGGAATTTTGAGACGGCGGTCTCGTCACTGGCAAATGGCGAGACAACCTTCTTGCCAAGCGAGAAGGCGGTCTCAATTTTGGTAAATGGCGAGACGACGGTCTCGCCATACGGGAAGGCGGTCTTGTTTTCAACAAAAGGCGAGACGACATTATTGTTAAGCGAGACGACAGTCTCGCCTTTGATGTAAAGTCAGCTTTCTTGAATGGAAGGTTAGAAGAAGAGGTTTATGTGGTGCAACCCCCAGGTTTCGAAATCACAGTGCAACATAACATGGGATACAAGTTGCGAAAGGCCCTTTATGGGTTGAAACAGACTCCTAGAGCATGGAATCAGAGGATAGATTAGTTCATGAGTAGCATTAGTTTTGAGAAATGTGCTTCAGAACATGGTATATATGTTCAATGCAGTAAAAGAGAAGGAAGAACTGAAAAACTAATAGTATGTTTGTATGTAGACGACTTGTTGGTCACAGGAAACAGTGAAGCTTTGATTCATGAATTCAAAGTGAACATGCTAAGTGAGTTTGAGATAAGTGACTTAGGCAAGTTGAGTTATTTCCTTGGCATAGAATTTACTGAAACAGAAAAGGGCATGGTGATGCACCAGTCACAATATGCAAAAGAAATGTTGAGGAAGTGTTGAATATTTGACAAGCGTACCAAAATTGTCAATCGTAGTATAATATTTCGATTAAATAAAAGTCGATCCCACGAAGGATGGTTTCACTAGAAATTCCAAATCATATGCTTACTATGTGGATTAAAAAAAATTGAGTTTTTCATAAAGATTTGGGTTGAAAATAAATGACAAGGAACTGTAAAGTGCGTTTAGAAAATATCAAATAAAAGAACTTAAGATTTGTTTTATTCCTTTTCTCTCTTTTGTATAATGGTTAAGTCAATAAAGAACATCAATTAACCTATCAATGTTGATGCCACCTATTTAAATCATTCATATTGATTCCTCGCACATGAAATTCATAAGAAAACCTAGTAAACGTCGATTCCTCATACCTTTAAGAGATTTCCCAGCATTAGGTTTAGGGTGTTAAGCAATTGATACATCAATTCTATTCCTAGCAATTAACGTAGCAAATATTCCTAACCTGATCTAGGGTTTCAAGATATAGTTTCCAATACATCCCAATCATCAAATATAAACATTAAAGAACACAAATGATAAGAATATCAACATCAAGAACATAGATTAATATATCAAAATATCACCCAAGATACAAAAGAGTTCGAAGGAAGTGCACCCAATCCTAAGAGAATGAAATTAGCCACTCATGGTAGCCATTACAAGCATCCAAATGGAGAAGAATTGATGAATAACAGAACAACCATCGCGCCTCTTCTTCAAAAACCTAGTATCCTATCTCAAAACACATCTTATCTATTTATAAAAGAATTTGGGTCTCGCGTCATTCGCTCAAGCAACTAATTACTCGCTTGAGCGGGAACATCAACTTTCACTCAAGCGAATAATGTTCGCTCGAGCGAGTAGAAACTCGAGAGCTTTGTCCTATTTTTGCTCAAGCGAGAATGAATGGCGCGTGAGCGAGAAAACTCCAGAGAACTTTAACAAAATTTCGCTCAAGCGAGAATTGATGGCACTTGAGCGAGTGAACTCCAGAGAGTTTTAACATATTTTCGCTCTAGCAAGCGTAGCTGGTGCTCGAGCGAATTTCCAGTTGAAAATATTTTTCCTTATTTCAAATTTTCTTCAATTATCCTCACAATTATGATATTTGCTCTTGTATCAAGGTATTCTACCAATTCATCCTACACTGGGAGAAAAATAGATTAAAATGAATATAATTGAAGTGGTTACATAACAATTCAAAGCGTAATTATATCAACTTTTACCACTTAACAGGAAGACAAAAATGAATAAGTGTAATGCTACAAATACTCTAGCAGAGATAGGTCTGAGATTGGAAACATATCTAGAGGAGGAAGCAGTTGATGCTACAACCTATCATAGTATGGTAGGAAGTCTGAGATATTTGTGTAACACACGACTAGATTTGAGTTATAACACTAATATTGTGAGTAGATATACGAAGAATCCAAGAGTATCCCACATGAATGCTGTAAAATGCATTCTCAGGTATGTGCAAGGAACACACAACTTTGGTATCTTGTTTTCACGAAGAAAGGAAGAGCACAACATGATATTTGTTTTTCCTTGGAGACTCACCAATCTCATGGAGTTCAACCAAGGAACCAGTTGTTGCTCTGAGTTATTGTGAGGCTGAGTATGTGACAGCGTGTGAAGCAACCTGTCAAGCTGCATGGTTAAACTTTGTAAAGGAGGGTTTGAAGATGGTGTTGATAGGGAAGATACTACTATTTGTAGACAATAAATCTGCTATTGATCTTGCTAAATACCCAACTTTTCATGGGAGAAGCAAATACATTGAGACAAAATTTCACTACATTTATGATCAAGTTAGAAACGAGAAGTTGGAGATTTGTCACTGTAAATAAGAGACGCATGTGCTAACAAAGGCGTTAAAACTTGAAAGATTTAAGAATCTAAGAAGACTTATTGGTGTTACTAATGTGAAATAAATTTTAGCTTAGGGAAGTATGTTGGTATTTTTTGTAATTATGCTAAAATTAGGAGCTAACCATAAATACGGATGTTCTGTCATCACATAAAAAAATATATATCAGATACTATTTTCATTTTTTTAGTATCTCTCTCAGAACCCTTTAGAAAGAACGCAATTAGTGGAAGAATCTTAATAAATAAACAATTTTAAAGTGGAAAAATAAAATGCCACCATCAATTCATATTTCTTCACTGTTCTTGCGTTGATTCTATCTACAAATACTTCTCCTTACTTTACTCCTTCTCAACAACTTTGCTTCCACATATGCTAATTGCAATGGCTTCTTCATCTCAGCTCATCAAGACATACGATGTCTTTGTGAGCTTCCGTGGTGAAGACACACGCAACAACTTCGTTGGTTTTCTCTTTCAAGCTCTTCGAACAAAAAACATCGATGTCTTCAGAGATGATGAAGATCTGAAGAAAGGCGAATCCATAGCACCAGAGCTCCTACAAGCCATTCAAGGGTCTCGAATTTTCATTGCGGTCTTCTCAAAGAACTATGCTTTCTCTACTTGGTGCTTGCGTGAACTAGCAGAGATATGTAAATGCGTTGAAACGTCGCCAAGATCCGTTCTGCCTATATTTTATGATGTTGATCCTTCAGATGTGCGAAAACAGAGTGGCTGTTATGAGAAAGTATTTGCTGAACACGAAGAAAGATTCAGGGAAAGTAAAGAAAAGATGGAGGAAGTGCAGAGATGGAGAGAAGCTCTCACACATGTGGCCAATCTCTCTGGTTGGGATATTCGAAACAAGTAATCCTTTCTCGTTTTTTAACACATCTTAATCTTAATTTATTACATATGCACTTTGCCATATCATGTCACATTCTAAACTAGATTTGAAAGAGGTTGAAGACCTAAGATTCAAAGGTTTAATGTAAACAGTACTTTCAAACAAAAAATCTTTTCTTTATTATCTTACCTATATATGTACAGTCTGATTTCTTTCTCTTGATTAATGATGTGAGGCATTCTTCATTTTTTTTTTTTTTAATTTCAGGCAACAATATGCAGAAATTGAACAAATTGTTCAATACATACTAAATATACTGCGGCCCAATCTATTAAGTCTTCCAAATGATGATCTAGTTGGGGTAGAGAAATCCATTGAAGAATTAGCAAATGTTTTATGTTTGGAGTCAGTTGATGATGTTCGAGTTGTTGGAATTAGTGGGATGGGTGGCATAGGAAAAACAACTATTGCTCGGGCATTATATGAAAGAATCTCTCATCAATATGACTCTAGTTGTTTTATTGATGATGTAAGCAAAATTTATCGAGATTCAAGTTCATTAGGTTTACAGAAGCAGTTACTTTCCCAGTCTCTAAAGGAGAAAAATCTGGAGATTTGCAATGCTTCGGACGGAACATGTTTGGTGTGGACGAGGCTACACAATGCAAAGGCACTTCTTGTTCTGGACAACGTTGATCAAGTCGAACAACTAAGGATGTTTACAGGAAATAGAAACACTTTGTTGCGTGAATGCTTAGGTGGAGGGAGCAGAATCATCATAATTTCCAGGGATGAGCATGTATTGAGGACACATGGAGTGGATGATGTTTATCAAGTCCAGCCGTTGAATCATGAAAATGCACTTCAGTTGTTTTGTAAAAATGCTTTCAATGTTAATTATATTTTGAGCGAATTTCAAATGTTGGCAGGTAAAGTTCTATCACATGCTCAAGGCCATCCCTTGGCAATTAAAGTAATTGGGTCATCTTTGTTTGGTCGAAATGTATCACAGTGGAAAAGTGCAATGGCTCGGCTGGAAGAGAATAAAAGTAGAAATATTATGGATGTTTTGCGTATAAGTTTTGATCAGCTGGATGAAGGAGACAAAGAAATATTTTTGGATATTGCTTGCTTCTTCTGGGGTGGTTGTGAAGCAGAAAATGTGAATGAAGTTTTAAATTTCCGAGGATTTCATCCAGAATATGGCATACAAGTTCTGGTTGATAAATCACTCGTAACTATTGATAATTATGGGTGGATTAATATGCATAGGTTGTTGAGTGATTTAGGCAAGTGTATTGTACGAGAAAAATCACCTAAGGAGCCTATAAAGCGGAGTAGGTTGTGGGATTTCCAAGATCTCCACAATGCCTTGTTAGACAATCAGGTAAAATTGTATTGTTTGATTATAAATTTTACGGTTGTCATTCTTCTACAATCTATAAATACTTTAAAAAAATCTACTAATTTGATTCTTGTGTACAATGTAGGCAACTGAAAACCTTGAAGCTATCGTTGTTTCAGGCGATGAGTTCAATAAGCCTATTAAAACGACAATGATGGCAGATGGTCTATCAAAAATTAAGCACCTTAAGTTGCTTTATCTTGAGAACTTGAACTTCTCAGGAAGTCTCGTTCATCTATCGAATGAACTAGGGTATCTTACTTGGACACAATATCCTTTTGAATGTTTGCCTCCAAGTTTTCAACCAGATAAACTTGTAGAGTTAAATCTTGGTGGGAGCAACATTCAACGACTATGGACAGGCAAAAAGGTAGCGTAAATTTCTTTTATATTTCTATTTTTTTAAATAAACCAATTAAATGACAAACTGTTTTTTCATTTCGATTATTTTTAATTAATTTAAGAAACATATTAATGAAAACCCAGGTATCATTATTAATTTTGTCTTCTTCTTGCCTATTTCTGTAGCCTCTGCACAATTTGAAACGTTTGAATCTCTCTTTCTCCAAAAATCTTGTTGAGATGCCAGATCTTGGAGACGCCCTAAATCTTGAACGGCTAGATCTTGTAGGATGTATACAGCTCAAGAAAATCAATCCATCCGTTGGCCTTCTGAGAAAGCTTGCTGTTTTGAATTTGACAAACTGCATAAACCTAGTAAGCTTACCCAAGAACCTATTGGGCCTGACTTCTCTTGAATATCTGAGTGTCTCTGGATGTTCAAAACTGTATAATAATCAGTTATTAGATGAACGAAGGAATGGAGATCATTTGAAGAAGCTTTGTTTAGTTGAAGCTCTTTTCCATTCCGAGACAAAATCCTCTCTCATAAAAAAAATGGTTTCGTGGCCTTTGGATTTGTTGTATTCCAGAGCACAGAGAGAGCCAGTTAGCTGTTTAACACCTTCCTCTCCTACTCTGCCTTGTTTGCGTGAACTTGATCTAAGTTTCAGTAACTTAGTTCATATCCCTGATGCCATTGGAAAGTTACATTGCTTAGAAAGGCTAAATTTAAAGGGAAACAATTTTGTTACGCTTCCCAGCCTCAAGGACCTTTTCAGACTCTATAGTTTAAACTTACAGCATTGCACGCGGTTGAAATATTGTCCTGATCTCCCTTCACGAATTGACTTGTCCTCAAAACGTTACAGTCAGTTATTGCCATTTGATCCCATTGTATTTTTACATCAACGCGACGAAATTAGGGGAGGATTAAGCATTTTCAACTGTCCTGAATTAGTTGATAGGGAACGGTGCACTAGCATGGGTTTTTCATGGATGATAAAATTTGTTCAGGTGTGCATGTTCCTTCCTTCCTCTTCCTTCTTTTCATTTATTTTTGTGGATGACAAAAATTGATAGGGAAACCAACAACTAACGCATAACTCTGTTGTGGTGGTACAAGGCGAGCCACCAATGCAGATGTCTTCCATTTAGTCCATTCGGTGCAAATGTTGAGAGTATTATCCCTGGAAATGAAATACCGAGGTGGTTTAACAATGAGCATGTGAGCATTGACAATTCAATAATCATCGATGCATCTTCTGTAGCGCAGGACAATTATTGGATTGGAGTTGTGTGTTGTGTTATATTCCAGATACGGAAAATGACTTCTCCAACAACAGCACCACTTTCCGGTGATACAATTCCAGTGGATGTCAGAAGAGATCTATTGATGGACGAATCAGATCACATGTGGTTATTCTATTTCAGTCGGCAAGCGTTCATTAAAGGATGCAACGGCAGGGGCATACCTAATATTGATGGCTTGAAAATGAAAATTAAAATAAGGGACATGGAAGATTCTCGTGATTTATGTGTAGAATGGGGGAACGAGGAAGAGAATTTTTTTCCGGAATTCTGGCAAATGGATAAGAAAGTTTTTCCGGTTGAAGTGAAGAAATACGGGTACCGTTGGGTATCTGAACAAGATCTAAAACTATCAAATGCGACAATGATGTATGGTGGAAATTTGACAACTCGAAAGCGCAAGTTTTTGGCAATGGAAGAAAACAAGTAGGAACAGATTTCAGATATGATGAACAGATTTCAGATACACTTCCATCATACTGAAAATTGTAAAAAGGACCGGTAAATAATATATAAACCCATCTAAGTATGATTTTAAGAAGACAATTTTTTATTTCTTATTTTTTTGTAATTTTCCTTATATGTTTTTTAGTTTGGGTGAAGAAAAAAATATTGATGCGTCTTTGCTTTTCTAGTGCATCCAAAACAGATAACCAAATCATGGAGATAATAATAGATATCCTGCTCTGCTTTTGACAACGTCAGTCAAACCGAACCAATATGAATAAGAAAATATAACGAACGATTATTAAGTTTCTAACCTTACTACGCCTTAACGGAACATTGATAATTTATAGGCAACTTAATTTGGTGGAAGGTTGATACAAGATGCCAAGAGAATACGACCATATTACTCCCAAGAAAATTTTCATGTACCCAACCATCTACATCCGCAGGGTCAATAAACCTTAATATATTTCTTCCCTCCGCAACCTTTCTTTGTATTTTATCCATTAACAAAGTTGTCCTTACTCTGCATTTTCACTCACAGTATTACCATTTTCACATCGTTGCCACAAGTTTGCTTACACTGTTGCCAATTGCAATGACTTCTGATGCTATCATCCAATACACCTCTTCTTCATCTCACGCGATGAGGACACATGATGTGTTTGTGAGCTTCCGTGGGAAGACACTCGCAACAACTTCACTGGTTTTCTCTTTGAAACTGTTAGTAGAAAGGGCATTGATGCCTTCAAAGATCATACACATCTCAAAGAAAGGGGAAACCATAGCACCCGAACTGTTGCAAGCAATTAAAGGGTCTCATATTTTCGTTGTGGTCTTCTCAAAGAACTATGCTTCCTCCACACGGTGCTTGCGTGAACTTGCGCACATCTGCAATTGCATTGAAACACCAGAAAGACGCGTTCTACCTATTTTTTATGATGTTGTTGGATCCGTGAGATGTGCGAAAACAAAGTGGATATTATGAGAATGCCTTTACTGAACATGAAGAAAAATTCAGAAAAGATAATGAGATGATGGAGGGGATTCAGAGATGGAGAGAAGCTCTTACACGCGTGGCCAATCACTCTGGCTGGGATATCCGAAACAAGTACGTGATCCCCTCAGGTTTCACCGTGGATCTTTACTTACTTTATACGTTTTGTTGTTACTTAGATTAAAGAGGCGTCCCAGCTGCTTCCTATTTGGCCCTGCAGGTATGGACCGAGTAGGAGAATAACTGCAAAAGACTCTCCATGCTTAAGTCTGTGAGTGAAAAAAAACGGGTATTTGAATATGATTGATTTCAATAAAGGAAATACTAAATTTACTTATAAGTGTGTTACCATAACTGTTCAAAATATATGAGATATTTTATTCTTATTTTATAGGTGTATAACATATATTTTAAGATAATTTTTGTATATTTTCAGGTGAGTTGGTATCCAAATATTTCTGGTATTTTTGAGATTCTCAAATACTACTGAGATATTCTCTTTGAGTACCTTGGTAGTTATAGTATTGAACTATTTTAGGATCGGTTAGATGTACAAGTCTCCTAAGCTCAAAGTCTTTTGGTGTATATAGGTTTATTAGTACTAGAGACCAACAAGTTTATGTTCTGATCACTTTGCCTTGTCAAATTACATTTTCTTAGTCTAACAACATAAGGGAAAATTTGTAATCATTAGAAATGATTCAACTCCTCACGCCTTTATCTCGCTGCCTTTGTGAGTGTGGGTTCATTTGCATTTCTCGCTTCTTTGCAACTTTCACAATCTCCATTCGCATTTTTCTTCTCATCTCATTTTTGAAAAGGTACCTCTATATCCCTCCTCTCTTGTTCTGGCAATGTTTGTTGCTTTTGTTTTGTTGATTCTTCGAAGTAAGTGTCTCCTTTGGTATCCAAGGAGGTGTGTTCAATTGGAGCCACATCTTTTGATAGTGTTAGAGATGTAAGTGTTTTTGAAGAGGTGAAAGTGACCTTTGAGGCTATTCTAATGGTTGTTTCCATTGTAGTAACATCTCGAACACACAATGACAAGTCGAAAATGGACCAGGGATCGCAAAAACCCACTATTGAGGGTCCTAGTGAGGATATTAAAGCTAAACATAAGGATAGATTTGCCCTTATCCGTTACCTCAAGTACTATTGGGTATTGAATGAGATGCATCACTATAGGTCAGAGTATTTATCAGTGTTTGTTGTTGAGGTCAGAGTATTTATCAGTGTTTGTTGTTGAGGCCTTTTGCAAGTCTTTCGATATATGTGAGCCTTGTTATACTCACTATCAAATCGTACTCTTCTGCTATTTGTACTATACTAGTACCATAACCCGTGGAACGCACGGGATTTTTGAAAAATGTTAAATGAAAAAATTATGTTAAAAAAATTGTATAAAATAAAAAAAAACTTACAATAAATACAAAATATAATCGATAAAATTATATCATACAAAATTTAAAAAATACCTTCTATAATAACATAATGATTATAATATAATGTAACATTTGAATAATATGCAATAATAACAAATCAAAATAAATTAGTATAATAATTTATAAATTTGATATATTGCATAAAAAAGATAAATCTAGTAAAAAATATTGTAATTTTATTTTTCATAATACATATTACACAATTAAACAATAAAGAAAGAAAAAGAATAAATAATGACAAAATATATAATTTGTAAAATAGTTATATGATTGTGAATAAAACTTACCAATTGTACAATTTTATGATCATTAAATAAGCATAATTTTGAAGCAATAATAAACATCATAAATCTACATTTTCATAGAGTAAATAATTAAAAATTATAACAAATAAATGAAGTAAACATGTAGTTTTTCGTATAATAGTGTACCTGCACATGTTTAAAGGTTTTCAAAGATTTCTTTGTATACTACATTTTTAGTACATGATGTTATATTTCCTTCTTCATCCAATATAAGCATTTTCAGTCCTTTCTTTGTTTTGACTCTAGAAATTGCCACATAGAACTGACCATGGGTGAATACTGGACGCGGAAGATAAAGTCCAACTTTAGAGAGTGATTGGCCTTGACTCTTATTGATTGTCATTGCAAAACACAATGATAATGGAAATTGTCTCCTTTGAAACTTGAAAGGAAATCCAGGATTAGAAGGAATCAAATTCATTCTTGGTATAAAGATTTTGTCTCCAATATTTTTTCCAGCAATTACAGTAGCTGATATGACATTTTTTCCCAAATCATTCACTTACAATCTTGTTCCGTTACATAAACCATTTGCTTGATCAATGTTTCTCAACAACATTACGGGAACACCAACTTTTAATCTAAGTCGATGAGTTGGAATACCTGAACATTTAATGTCATTAAGAAATTCAGATGTAAACCATTCACCTTGCATTACCTGATCCTCATCTGATTGACATGGTGTATCAGAACTCAAGTATATTTTTTCTTCACCAGGAATCAAAGATAAAATAAAATTATTAACTTCCTCAACTGCATCAATAGTAGGACAAAGTATCGCTCCATCATCAAAATTACCAGCATACATCATGTTATGCACAAAATGAGGATAGACAAAATTAACTAATGAAAGTAAAGGTGTTTCATTGCCTTCAATTAAAAGATCTTTGGGTATGTGAATATGTCCTTCACCATTTTCATTCAAAGGCACATCTCCATCTCCAATCTTTAATATCCAATCAAGCAAATTCTTTTATATCTTTTGCACTATCATTTGTTTTTGCGGTATTTAACCTCATATTCTCTGTAAGCTTTAGAACTTTGCAATTTGTCCATATTTCAGAATAATTTATAGATGACTTCACCACATCATGTCTTGATCCTTTTCTAACAACAGGCAAAATTTGCCTAAAATCACCTCCTGACACAATAACTTTACCACCAAATGGTTTATCATGATTCTTTACATTTGTTGCTTTCATAATATCCCTCAAGGTTCGATCAAATGCTTCAAAACATAATCTATTCATCATTGGAGCCTCATCCCATATAATTAGTTTTGTTTCCATCAAAAGTTTAGCTCGAACACTTCCTTGAGGTATATTGCAAGTTGATTCCTCATTAATTAATAATGGTATGCAAAATGTTGAATGAGTCTGTCTTACCTCCAGGAAGTAACAAAGAAGCAATTCCACTTGAAGCCACATTAAGAACAATCATTTCCTTAGACCTAATGGCAGGTGACAAAGTTTTCCAAAGGAATGTCTTACCAGTACCACCATATCCATACAAAAAGAAAAACCCCCCTTTTCTGAAAATACAACTCTCATGATCTCTTCATAAACACATAGTTGTTCATGAGTCAATGATCTGGAACAATGTTGAATGTACTTTATTCATTTCTTCCTTATCATAATTAAGTTCATCAACAATAAATTTATTGTCATATATGAATGAATCTGAAAAATCAGGTTGAGGTAAACAACTATAATCTTTTAGGGACCTACCATTTGACATAAGCAATTCATCTACTCGTAATAGACAAAGATTATGCAATTCAGATTCTTCAATTTGAAAACCTGCATTGGAAGATAACATAACATGATAAACAATCAAATAAGTGATTAAAACTTACAAATAAAAAATTTTGTATACCTGGTAGATTTAACTCCTTTCTTTTTTGATATAAAATATCATCTGCCAACAATTTCCATGTAGAATTCCAAACAACATCTGGTTTAGACATTGTGTTCATCACTAATAATGTAACAAACAACTTTCTCAATTGATTGCACTGAAGCAAGTTTACTTGCTTCATTGATTGCATCAATGAATTCTCTATCATTTGCCAATAGTCCCAAAGCGTGGCAAGCATCTTGATAAGTTATCCCATTGACTGTCTTTATGCTATCATAATCAATGCATCCTTTTTGTATTGTTAACAATATCCTCATATAATATAACTCACCGGAACACTGGAGGAACATACGTCGGTCGTCCAATATTATATCCTTGCTTTCTTGGTTTCCATTCTCTCTGTTGAGGCATCCATACAAACTTACTTGGAAATTCAGCATATGTTAGGTTATTTCCCTCAACAAACCTTTTATTAGCCTCAAACCAAGCAGTAAACATTGTGTCAACATCTTCATTAGAATTCAAGATGGCATGAATATGGTCATCATCTTTAAAAAAAATTGATTGTTGACTTATGAGATGAAATGTCAATCTTTGCACGAGATGGCCATCTATGATGAATATCAAAACCAAAAATTCTCCAAACTGCCTCGAGATGGTGATAAGTATCTACAATCATAGTATCTTTTAATTTCATCAACAACTTCGAATTAGTAGAATCTGCAGAACTACTACTAATGTTAATGGTTGCTCTATCTCGGTCCTTTGTTGACATATTTAAATAAATACTTGATTGAATTTGACTTGTTGCAATATTCGAGTATTAACATGAGCTTGATACCTCATCAAAAGAAGTGGACTATAAGGAACAACACTACAATTATCTAGTTTAAGTCCATTCTTTATAACAAATATGCCATTATCTTGACGTTTATAAGACGGATATCCGTCTTCATCTATAGTAGTTGAAGATGTAAATTTCTTGGGATAATATTTTGAACATCTACCTTCTTTCATGCAAGGTGAATTGAATTTTGCAGCTCCACATGGACCATGGATCATGTAACTTGCAACCATGCTAGAAAGTTTTGGATACAAATCTGAATGAGGTAATTCAGCGAGAGATTACCTTATCAATGTCCCTTCCATTATGCAATTTATTTTCACTATCCAACCATAATAAGATGTGAGCATGTGGAAGTCCTCGTTTTTGGAACTCTACGAGTGTACATTCCTATCATCAAAATAAATAGGAAATAAGATATAAGATATAAAATCGCTATTATTTAAATTTGTAATATGTAGTAATGAATTATACAAACCTGCATTGACTTTTCCAAAGAAGTTATCTTTCTTGAAATCGACATCATTTGATCTAACTTCATTTTGAAAACTCGACAAACAATATCGGGTCTATCTACGCATGATTAAACCTCTTGCATGAACAAAATCATGTATTTCACTCCATTTTACATTACATGTGATCGTTATAAATAAATCTGGGTATCCAAATCTTTTGCAAATAGCCATAGCAT